AACTTGTATCATGTAAACTGGGATAGGAATCAGAGTAGGAATTACCAACAAAGGAGATAAATTAGTTTCGACGGGGATGTATAGCAACAGAGATGCAAGGTTCGACCGTATTAACATAAATGCTACAACGTAACATAGACTGCCTTTAAGCACCTATAAGAGTAATAAATGAAATAGAACCTATTGTAACAGAGCATGATGAGAATTGCATACAAAAAAAGGGCTGATTTAAATTTTCATCGCAGAATGTCATAGTCTAATACTGGCCATGAAATGATTGAGCAAAGTCTTATGTAACGATTTCAAATGCAGTATAAAGAGGATATTGGTTCAATGCCTTATGAACTGAAACTGAGCGTATAACAGAAACAATTGTGACCTGCTTTAATATGATCAAAGACATGACTTGGTGTAACATGAAAAGTGTTGGAGCCTAGACTAATACGAATAAAAGCACATCCCACAGCAAAAAAATAAACGAGACCACGCCTGTTTCAAGAGATGTAAAATAAATGACGATTTCACCGCCATCTACAGAAAAAGGATTGTTGTTGCCAAAAACCTGTGAAAAACCTGCAGTCATTTATGGCTTGTGGCATTTACGCTGGATGAATGGAACCACACGGTGTTTGGAACACATATGAAGTCTTTTGGGCGTCTTGTCTGTTCTGATTCTCTGAGTGGTCAATTGCTTTGACTGTTTTTCAGGCAAAGATCGAATTCCTTCTTGAAATATTCAGTTCAGGCTGCCGCACTATACTCTCAATCAGTTCATTCTGGAACCGAGCCACGTGCTGTTTGACATAGCTTTTCTTCTTCATGTCACCACTACCTCTTTTGACAATTACTTTATTTCGGTATCCTGTACTTACCGATCTTTGCAACAAGGCGAAAACTTTCCTCTTATTTCTCTGTAAAATAGTGAAAATTTGGAGGCGCATCAATTGTTTTGTAATATAGTGCACTGTGAAATGCTGATGAACTATAATTGTGTCTTTACGCATTTTCCCTCCTCCTGTCCATTGGTGCCGGATCAGCTACTGCTAATAGTTACTTTTTGAAGACAAATTGAAACTGTGCACAAATTGGTTGAAGAATTTCATGATATTGGAAAGAACATCTTGAAAAAAGGATGACAGATTGGTTTTGATCAATCTTGCAGCTGTCACCTAAAAATGCTTCAGAATTACTGATGAATATATATGTTTTTAAATTTTTCTTTGCCCTGAAGCATACAAAATGGATGTTCTGTTTCCAATAAAAACAAAACAGAAACCTGTGTAACAGACACAACACAGTATGGGGCTGGAGGAGCACAGCAGGCCAGGCAGTATCAGAGGAGCATGAAACTTTCCTGCTCCTCTGATGTTACCTGGCCTTCTGTGTTCCTCCAGCTCAATGCTGTGTTGTCTCTGACTCCAGCATCTGCAGTTCTTGCTAAATCTGTGTAAATGGTTATTCCTCAATATTCTCATATTGATCCATAGTTGGAGGCATACCCCGTTAACATACAAGTCTCACCATGCTCAATAAATCTCACAGCAGAAGGGCAACCGTATGAAAGGGGGCAATTTGATTTCTGTCATGTCACAGTAAAATAGAAGAAAATAATTTCCTGGACAAGTGCAGGACGCATCATTCCAATGAGCAGCCCTACTTTGCTGTGACTGAAGTAACCTGTTGAAGATATGTGAGTGTTCTGTCCTTTATGATACGGACACATGTTCGAAGCATTGGTATAATTCCTTCTGAATACAAGCATGTCGCCGTTTTCTATGTTTGAGCTGAAGATATACATCAGCAGAGTACGATCATGTGTGTCATAGGAGTATCTTCAAGTTACTGTTGATGAAGCCCAACTTGTCACTTCGTGATATATGCAGTATTTTAATTATAAAGGGACTGGGAAAGGACAGAAAGTGACAGACTAACACAAAAGTAATAATGGACAGCCTCAAATAATGAAGCCAGCAAACATAAAGTTTAAAATTTTGAAGATTATGTCTTCTATAGACCCAACCGGTCATCCATCAATCATTCCATCTATGCATTCATGCATCCATTCATTCTGTCTGTCTGTCTCTATTTCGATCTATCCAGCTAGATCACATGGAATTCAGGGTGAGGTTGCCAATTGAATGCACAATTGGCTAAAGGGTAGGAGACAGAGCGTGGTGGTGGAAGGCTCTTTTTCGGACTGGAGTTTTGCTGCCATCGGTGTTCTACAGGGATCAGTGCTGGGATCACCTTTGTTTATCTTTCATGTGAAGCATTTAGATGAAAAATAGAAGGCACGGTTAGCTCATTCATGGTTGACTTCAAAATTAGTGTTACAAAGAGATATTGATCAATTGGATCAATGGGCTGAATAGTGGAAGATGGAGTTTACTAGAACAGAGAGACCTCATGGTTCAGGGTGATAATACCTTGACGTTTGCATTACAGGATGGCTAAGAAGGCTTTCAGCAGGCTTGCCTTCATTGCTCAGTCTTTTGTTTATCGGAATTGGGAAGACATATTGAGGTTGCACGGGACGTTGGTGAGACCTCTTCTGGGGTAGTGTGTCCAGGTTTGGTAGCCCTATTATAGGAAAGTTATTATTAAACTGGAGAGGGTTGAGAAAAGATTTCCAAGGATGTTGCCAGGAATGGAGAGCTTAAGTTATAAGGAGCGATTGGATCTGCAGGGACTTTTTTCACTGAAGCTTCGGAGGTTGAGGGATGACCTTATCAATGTTCGTAACATCATGAGGGATATAGATAAGATTAATAGCAGCTGCCTTTTCCCTAGGATGGAGGCTTTAATGACTTGAGGCATATTTTTAAGGTGAGAGGAGAAAGATTTATAAAAGACTTGAGAGACAACTTTTCACAAGGAAAGTTGTTCACGTGTGGAATGAGCTTCCACAGAAAGTGTTGGATGCACGTCGAGTTAAACCTTGTAAAGACATTTCAATAAGTACATGAATAAGAAATGTTTGGAAGGATATGGGCCAAGCTCAGGCTGGTGGGTGTACTTTAGTTTAGGATTATGGTCGGCATGGAATGGTTGGTCTGAAGGATCTGTTTCTGTGCTTTTTGACTTTTTGACTCCATTTCTATCTGTCTATCTGAATATCTATCTATCTATCTATCTATCAGTCTATCTTTCTATCTATCTTTCAATCTATCTATCTATCTATCTATCTATCATTTTTCTATCTAACTATCTATCTATTTATCTATCTATCTATATATCTATCTACCTTTCTATCCCCCATTTATCAGTCTATCTCAAAATTATAACGTGTTGTAGCGAACGTCCAGTCAACTGTTAATGTTTGCATAGTGTCTGAGTCTCTGCGAATATTTCCTTTCACGAGAGAAAAGACCAATTATCAAAGTTACACAACTGAAAACTAACATTTTCTCCATCAATGTTGCTGGGTATATTTATTTATGTGGAGGCGATGGTTTTGGTTTGAAGCTGGTTTTCCGCCAAGTAGTCAACAAGTGAAGAAAAATGCCTTTGATTTACTGTAGAAACTCCAGATACTTCTGGCAAATGATAATGTGAACTCCAGCGTCTTTTTTTGCAGTGGACCTGATTGCTGCCAAATAATATGCTTGGTACAGTAAAGGACATTTGAATCAATGAAAATATATTTTTCCCAAAAAGTTGTATTTTTGCAACAACACACGATGGGCACATGTCACTTGGCACGTCTTCCGTGAATAAAAGTCACTGAATACAGCATTCACTGTGTGACTATCAGAAAACTGGAAACTTACTGTACACCAGCAATTTCTATTACTTCCAAACAAAGGTCATTCTAGTCAGTTTAGCTTGTTTATTAACTACTTTAAAGCTCTATAATGTGAAATAAATGAAACCAAACTGACTGTTTGTTAGCATCTTGAAGTAAATTTACAAAATTTAGTTAGCTTGAACTCGCATAGCTTGTTCCACCCTTCTCTGATCAGTCCAACCTTCGTTAAGTGAGAGGGTTCTTTTGACATGGCAAGCACTGGTGTAGTGTAACTTTTAATTTCTCCTGATGTCTTTTAATTAACAGTACCTGTCATAGCCACCACCGAGCAGATAAATCTTATGATCATGACCTGCATTAGTGGCAATTATTATAATACTTCCGAAGTGAACATATACTTCTGATATACCCATCGAGTTACCTGCAGTGATTTGGACGCTGAGGAGATTTTTTCAACTTATCGACCGACCTGTTTTAATTCATTAGATTTTCTTTCAAAATCTTATCTGAGTGTTATGTTTCACTGTCAAATCACTGATTATTATTTACTCATACAGTTTTCTTTTAATGTGCATTATCAAATGATCGTGTTAGGTCCGACCAATTTGAAAAAAAATGTTCAAGGAGAAATATTATTCTATGTAAGGAGCTTCTTCTCATCTCTGAGGTCATACTGTTTCGCCACGTCCACTCATATTCTGAGCATAATATCTATGGACATGCTCCTTATTGAGTTGCCGAAATTTAATTTATCAATGCCTATCATGAATTATATGTTATTTTGTTGTGTGACAGAGACTGGGATTGTCTGCAAAAAAGTAAGCAATTTGTTGGCTGATAAATTTATTGATTTTTTTAAAATTCTGGTTTTATCTGCTTGTCAATGAATGTCAAGAAATAATGTGAGCTGATTTCCAATTGAATTATTTTTATTGTCTTTAATAAAATATTAAAATCTATCATCTATATCAGACCTCAAGCTGTTCATTTGTTGTTTCACTAATAAAAGTATGGGAACACGTCCAATCAAGATATTCAGCAAAACAAATATCCTACGATGGAAAATTGTCCATGTTTAAAATAACCTCGTGTAAATATATGAGCCCAATTTTTCGGACTGTGGGCTTGGGGAGGGGGTGTGGTACGTGGATCTATTCATAGCCTCCACCAGGAAACCAACAGACGGAGACTGTAAGCCTGCCCCTTCCGATGGGTATATAAATTCTAGTCACTGGACCGTAATTCAACACTCCTGGATCTGGTTTGTTTAGAAATAGCTTGACAGAACAGTTTTCTGCAAGTTAGCAGAATGATTACATTGACAATTTTTCTCAGTTTGTTACTGACGTTTTTATCCTGTGAGTGTTTATTCTTCAAGTCTCTCTTTCTTACTGTCTCAGTCTAAGTCTCCCTCAGGCATGTAAAGGACTCAGGAATCATTTCATCAACATTGATCGCACGGCATGTCTTTTGATTTCTTTTTAAAGGTGTCCAGTCGGAGATTACTTTGAATCAACCAGAGGCAGAGACCGACCGCCCAGGAGCCACCCTGAGACTGACCTGTAAAACCAGCGGGTTCAATCTTGGCAACGACTGGATGTGGTGGGTCCGACAGGTTCCCGGACAGGGACTGGAATGGTTGATTAGCTACTATAGTTCATCGAACAATTACTACGTGTCAGCGATTAAAGATCGATTTACTGCGTCCAAAGACACTTCAAACAACATCTTCGCATTGGACATGAAGAGCCTAAAGATCGAAGACACTGCCATCTATTACTGTGCAAGAGACCACAGCGCGAGGAACAATGGCTGAACCCATGCAAAAACACCTTGAAGGAATACTGTGTAAATTCCATCGTAAACAGACGGTCAGTACTTGTTTTCAATGCGATATTCACAACTATGATGTGAAGTAGACCTCAAACTGCTTCTTACAAAACTATCACAGAGAAATGTACCATTAAAACTAACAAACCAGCCAATACAATAGAATGTTTGGGCATGTTGTTTGCACTGCTGCCAGTTCTATCAGTTAAAAGCTTGGACATAATGTTAATTTTAATATATCGAACAGCTCAGGAAATCTCTGTCAATTGCATTATGTAATCTATGGTATTAAATCTAAACATGATCAGTACTAAAGGTCTATTTCACATGAAAATTGAGACAGAATATAGATCGGAGAATGAGTGCAGCTTCTGTGCGAGTTTATGTCACTGTGATACTACAGTGGGTCACAGTGATGTACACAGCGATATCCTCATGCAAAAACTACTGACAAAGTTTTAGCTCAAATTGGCAATTGCTGCTATGGGAGAAGCGACGGATAATTTGAGGCTTAATTCAAATTCAGTCCAGTAGCGTCAGTTTGTACAAACACACGCAATTCTTCTATTTTCTTCTTTTTAGTGGCCACCTTAAATGTATGCCAATCTTTTAAAACTATTCCATGCAAATTTAAAAGTACAATGAGGAGTAAAAGCTGAAATATTGCACTGAATCATTTTTACAGGATTCTGATTCACTGTTTTCCAGGAAGCAATGAAATGAAGTATACGCATTTTACAGTTTACAGCCCGGCATAGTACTTTACATAAAGTGTCTCGCAGTGACATACTGGAAGAGCACTGCAATTATGATCAATACTAAAACTCGTTCAGCTCGGTTCAGTGTTTACTTTTACAAACCATCTACACTTGCAATGCAGTATTAGTTATGTGGAGTATTACGCATGTAATACGGTTTAATTTGTAAAAGTAGTGATAATTATTGAAGCACCCGTTAGTGGTTTTGAGAATCAGTTCGTTTGTTACTCTGTGAAGTACAAAACGTTCGAAGGTTCATCAATAGTGAGCAGAATTCACTCGCACAATTATAATGTGCAGAAGATTTATTGTGAATTAATTTTGCCTGTGGTTAAAAATATTTAAAATAATGGCAGACTTTTGTTCGTTTTGCGCGGAGCCAGTTATTATGTGACCTAGAGCAGAGAATGTAATGCCGTGTCTTGCTTACTGGGGGCAAGGGACGATGGTGACGGTGATTGCAGGTAAGAACCTTCAAGTTTCTCAGTAACCATTATTTTTGATTTAACTTTCTAATCATGTGAGTAATTCTGAGTTAAAACTTGGTTTCTGCGTTGAGATTGGTTTGGTTCCAATTGATTTTTCTGATTGTAGACTTAAAGTAAGTCTCATCAAATAAATAAAGTTCTGGTGATTACATCAGTTGCGAAGCGTAATTCTTATTTTTCATCAGACGGGCATTCTGTGTGGCTGGGTTACTTGAAATCTGAAAAAGAAAAATCCTAATCACCTCTTAAGCAGCATGATGTAAAACCAATGTTTAATGTCAGTGACATCCAATATGTGCGACTTTTATTTTCGAGAGCAAACGTTAAGAATTTAAAAGTTTTTGAAATATTAACAAATGTGATCAAAATATGCTAAAATATCATTGTTAATTTCTTGTATATGTTCCACCTACACACAATGTTCTTACCATAATTATATTTGCGGTTTAGTTTGTTAATTTTGTTCATGGCAAGCAGGTTAGGTTCTTTCACATAATTTTCTTGTAGTTCTGCAATTCATTCTGTTGATTTGACTTGATCGGTTTTTGATTCTCATTCATTTCAATCTTTGATTTGAGCTGATTAGATTTTGAGCTTGTTTTACCTGATTCTGTCGAATCGAGTTTCTTCGATTCTGTTGAATTGAATGGATTGGATGCTGAATTTGTTCTATTTGATTTTGTTCAAATGAGTTGGTTGGCTTCTGATTCTCTTTCATTTCAATCTGTTGTTTTGAGTTGATTGGACTCTGGTTTGGTTTTAGTTGATGCTGTTGAATCGAGTTGATTGGTTTCTCTTTCAATTTGTCGAATCGAACGGTGTTTTCAATTGGTTTCGTGTTTTCTGTAATTTGTGCTTTTTTTCCTGTTAAGGAGGTTGTCCAATCTGGATTACTTTTAATTACTAATATTTGTAAAGTTCTTTGCTTTTCCCGCCTCGTTTCTGCATTTGTTAAACTCATAGAATCCCTACACTGTGGAAACAGGCCATTCGGCCAAACAAGTCCATACCGCCCCTCCGAAGAGCATCCCACCCTGACCCATTCCCCTACGCCTGCAATTTCCCATGTGTAACCTACCTAACCTAAACATCCCTGGGCACTATGGGCAATTTAACCCGGCCCATCCACCTACCTGGAGCACCCAGAGGAAACTCACGCAGATAAGAGGAGAATGTGCAAACTCCACACAGAAGACGCCCAAGGGTGTAATTGAACCCGGGTCCCTGGCGCTGAGACACAGTGCTGCCCTGTACGACATTTATTTTTTCTGATTGATTGAAAGCATTATATGTGTTTATAACTTTCCGAAAACCGATTTAAGGCAGAAACATGGAAGGTTTAAGAAATTTAAAAATACATTTTAGTGCATTGATTTTTATTAAAAAAACAATCCGTTCTAGTTGTAAACTAAGTCTGTTTTTACTTGTCTCTTTTAAAATAGAATTTGGGACTAAAATCTCAAATTTCTTAAATGACACTAAAATTGTTATGAAGTACAATTATAGTGTCGTCATACTTGCCCATTGAACTAATTTCTTTTTACCTGAAAGTGATTAACCGATATATGCCTCTAACCGCTCTACTATGCACGGCGCAATTTTGACACGCATAGGAACGGTATACAGGTTGGAAATAAATTAAACTGATGCTAAAAACTTGCTTAGCTTTACTTGCTGTTTAATAAATCACCTTACAAACAAGGCTGTTCTTATGACTTCGTATTTCTATATAATTTAGTAATTAGTTTGTTTGATGGTGAGCAGTTTTGTTGGATTCTAATTTTAGATTTTTTGCGATGCTATGTTTTGGTTCTGCTGAAAATGCTTGCCGAGACACTTCTACTGCAAACGCATCGCTGTCCCTTAGTGTTGTGATTTGATGGTATTTGTTCTGTTGAAAAGAGAATATGTGTGGGCGCCATTAAATTCGTAATATCTGTGAATCTGTTTCTTGTTTCCGCTTTGTTTTTCCAGTGTCTACATAGTTGGTGACAGTGAACACCTCCAGCTTTCTCATTGAGTGCAAACACCATGCGAGTTGAAATTTCCTAAAGCATAATATTAGGCGAAAGGCAGGTCCCAAAGGTTTTGCAAATTAAGAGAAAACAGATACCTAAGGGCGCGATTTTTATTTATAAGTAATAACTGCACATTAATCTAATCCATGCCTTACACCAGCTATCTATTTAGATCATAAGGTCTGTCTTTGAACGGTTTACAAGCCACAGAGAAACATAAATAGAATGTCAAAAATATAATATTCTACTGGTTATTGATATTGAGCAAAAATGCCGTTATTCTAATATCATTAACGAATCACCTTTCAATTCCGCTGTACACTACACACAGGTTTTGTGGCTGGAAAATATAATTGACAAACACTACTTAGCAATTTCGATAAAGAACAGATCGATGTCACTGCACTGATCAGTTTCACAAGTAACTTCAATTATTTGATTGTTATATCCCTGATTTAACTAGATTTGCAGGAATAATAACAAAATTTTAACTGAGGGATTTAATTCATACAGTGCTTTACGTGTTCCCAATCCATGTGTTATAAATATTTAAAGTTATGTTTCGCAACAACATATCAAGTCAAGAGTCATTCCTTAGGAAAGAACTGCCACAGTGGACTATGTGACCAAGGCTAGAGTTTGAATTCATTATAATAACCCACTCATGATCTCACCAATTGAATACTTGCTGCGAATGCGGAGAATGTTTACATAACTGTTTTCAGACAAATGTAGAGTTTACAATTTTGCAGAAGGCAGTAACTAGAGGATACTAGAGCACATTGTTATTCAAACACTGAAAATAGAGTAATATTTATTTTAATTAATGTGCTTGACTGATATTTGCAAAGTAGCAATCTGAAGATATCGCTCACATCAGTTACATGTGATGAACATTTATTTACATATTAGTTAAAGAGGGCAATTCACGACAGAAACACGTTTTGAATTCATTCATTCATTCAAAAAATTCTTTATTACAAAGCAGCTAAGAAAAAAACTTGCCTTTGCAAAGCAAACCAGAGAGGAAATCTTTCTAATACTTTATTCAATAGGAAAATCTCCACAGTACTGGTTTTGTGCAGTGCGTGCAAAATCCCCAAAGTTCAAGAAATATTTTAACAATATGTAAAATTAGTTTAGAAAATAATCCATTTCCTCCTGCGCCGTGCTAAAATTGATGAAATGTTTCATCTCAATAATTTTGCGAAGTCTAACGACTTTTTAACTCTATTAAATCAGTGGGTAATCTGTGTTCATTGCGAAGGCATTTTCTTTTGCATTAATGCTTACCCTCTGGCGAGTTCCAATTATGAAAATTAAATTAGAGTGAATCCGTAACATTTAACATGACCAATTGAGCAGATGTATCTGTTGGGTCAACACTCTCGTACTGTTTATGTGCTATGTCTGACTGTTTTATAAACCGGTCCTGACCGGTTATAAATCGTCTGTTTCAGACGCCTGAATTTCAGATAGTTCAACTTCATCTGGCCCTTCAAAGCCAATGTCATTAGCCAGAAATGTAATATTTGATTAGGCACCTCAGAAATGAGAGCCCCGACTCAATTGTTACAATCAGAACGAACATTTCAGAAACACAAGTTAGACTGCAGGAGTAGTAGGAACTGCAGATGCTGGAGAATCTGAGATAACAAGATGTAGAGCTGGATGAACACAGCAGGCCAAGCAGCATCAGAGGAGCAGGAAGGCTGACATTT